CCCATTACAAATTGATACTTACACATGTGTGTTCCATACACCCCCATTACAAATTGATACTTACACATGTGTGTTCCATACACCCCCATTACAAATTGGTACTTACACATGTGTGTGTTCCATACAGCCCCTTAAAAATGACCTGTGTCACATTTGATATTCCTCTCAGCAAGATCCATGAAAGCATCAGAGGGGAAAAAAAACATACAAAGAAAAAAGAAATGGAGAGCAGAGAAAAGTAAGAGAGTGAGAAAGAAATAAACTAGATTATATAACTATAGCAGACAGTCCAAGGAATAATATTCCTTCACTGGTCTACTGTCTGCAGGGGCTCTGAGAGTTATATATTAGGTACCAAGGGGCCGCAGGTTGGTCACCGGGGCTATAAGGGAGTAAAACTCGCACAAAGAGATTAATATCAGCCGGGTCTGAATGATAAATTCCCCCTATAAGTCCTGTCGGAGTGGCACTTACACAATGGCGCACATTTATATTATGTATATCACCTGAGTATCTGTGACATGAAACTTTCATTTAATCCCTGCAGTTTATCTAGCCTATGTAGAACTGGAGCACACACTGGACCACATGGTGTATCAGTGTTATTTTCATACGACTGTATACTGGGTACAGGGTTTAAAAGGTCGATCCATCCATAGAGAAGAGGTGATGCATCTCTATCTGTAGTGGGTACAGGGTGCGGCATTCTTGGTTCAGGGGCGACTCATCCCAGCCTAAGGACATTCTGAGGTGTGGGAGACACCAGCAGGGCCGGCCTTAGGCCTTTAGGCGCCCTGTGCGAGAAAGCTTTACAGCGCCCCTCAGTGACCACACCCCTCAGTGGCCACACCCTCAGTAACCACACCCATTTATTACCCATATTTTTGGTAAAATATAAAAAGCGCGGTCACGTCGGGTGGGGGGGCGGACGAGGGAGCGCTGTCATATCGGATGGCGGAGCGGTGAGGGGGAGAGAAGCCGCCCCCAGGACGAGCTGTGTCGGCCGCACAGCGCCCTTGTTGCCATGGCGCCCTGTGCGGCCGCACTGCTCGCACACCCCTAAGGCCGGCCCTGGACACCAGCCCCGAGAAGGATCTAGAAATGAGACCTGACCTCTGCAACACTGTGAGGTCTTGTCTTTGCTACCATACTCCACACATCTGGGTGGCAGGTTCTCTTCGAGAAATGGAGAATCACATCGAGTGGTTTGTCATTCACAGCAACTGCATTACCAAATCATGTTACTTACTCAATTCTCAGGAACCTGAATTAATTAATGTTGCCATTTTCCCAAGAAAATGACCTCCTCATTAAGCATAATTATCAATGGTAAGACCGTACGGATTCATCCCCTGCAGCAGGGGTGGGCAAACTCCGGCCCTCCAGCTGTGGTGTGACAACAAATCCCATGAGGCATTGCAAGACTCTGACTGCCACAGGCATGGTTCCCAGAGAGAGTTGTGATACATCTGCTCTAGTATTCAGTATAAATAACACCATAAACTCAATAGCACAGCACATAAAGGAGAGCCGCGGGCACAAATTCAATACTACATATGGAATGTGGAAAATTATTTATATTGATTTATAGTTTTTGGCTGCATCACCTGAAAAAAGTAATATAAGCTGTCCCTTTCTCTGACAAAACCCAGCATCTGTGCCCTCTGGATATGAACGAGCCTTTACACACAATGCAATCACATCCTGAATGAACAGCAACAGAGACCTACCTGCAGCTGTGAGGAGCTCCTATGCCTTGCAGCCTTCCATGCAGGTGCTGATGATGGAACCTGTAAAAAAGAAACATGTT